CTGGGGGCAAGGGGGGTCCTCCGGGGACGGCCGCACAGGTGGCTCTCTGGGAGACAGGGAGAGGAGGGACCGGTCACACAGTGTGGGGGGCACCTCTGTGGCCACCCGCTAGGCAGGACCACCCTTTGGTGGCCACCGTCGTGACCCACAGGAGAGCCCAAAGCGTCGACACAGAGCTGCCAGGCAGCTTCAAGGATGGGACACACGCTGAGGATGCTCAACGGGGAAAAAAGCCAAATTTAACCAGCAAGGGAAGCACTCAAAGGCTGGTTGTTCTCAACCGAGGCACAATGCAGCTGGACAGGTGAAATCTCCCCATCCCCAGAGGTTTGGATGCCCTTGGATGCCCTCCCGGGCGAGTGTCTCAGCCCCTGGCAGCTTGGTTGCCACAATCCACCCTGGGCATTTGCAGATGACCGCGACACTTGGGCTGGGGGTTGCCCATGGACGGGCAGCAGGTTGGGTCCCTCACCCGGCTCATCTCGTGGAGCTGCGCCGTGAGGTCGGCCACTTGCTGCTTGACCTGCTTGTGCTCGGTGGACTCCTTCTCCAGCTTCTCTTTCATCTTGTTCAGTGTCTGCATCATCTCCTCCTTCTCCTGGGCCTTGGCGTCGCACTCCCGCTCCTTCTTCTCCAGCTTCTGCTGAAGCTCACTGTGCTCTGCAACAGCCCCGCGAAAACAACCCCATGAAATCACTCCTGCATGGCAAACACCCACCTGCTGCAGGCAGCCACGGGCAGGAAAACGGCCCTATGCTGCCCTAGAGAAAAGGAGCGCAGTTAAAAAACGGGAGCCTGCATCATCTACTTAATGCCCTGGCCAGAGATTTCCACTGCACTGCAGACTTTGGGACAGGATGCTCAGCAAGGAATGCAGCAAAGGTGTCCCCAGGTCATGGATGGAGAAGTCCTGTGTCCGCTGGCAGTGATGCTGAAACATCCTGGGACATCCAGAGACATCATTTCACCTTCAAGAGCTGCAGCGTTGAGAGGCAACAGCTCAGGTGTCCTGACCTGTTGGTATTTTGGAGCTACCTGCTAATCCTGGCTCTCTTACCTGACCTCAGGGCTTCACTGAATCAAGGCCAGAGTGATTAAGGCCAAACAAGTTGTATGAAAAACGAGGGACGTCAGGACTTAAATCCATGCTCAGAGGCTTTGTTAGATGAAGACAATTTCCCTGCCAAGCACAGATACGTCATCCCTGACCTCCTCATCTATTCTGATAGACACAAAACAACCTCCAAAGAGCATTTGTTTTCTGATCGTGACAGAGGAGGATGGATGCAACTGCAAAAATCAATCTCTCTATTTCGTAGTTTCTTTTCTTTTTTTAAGCTAATAACAGTATATTTTTGTGAAAAGACAGATCTCCTTTTCCCCCAATGGTCCCAAGAAAAAAATTAATCTCTTTGCCATTTCCACTGTTAGTCGACGGCAGGGTAGAACCTCAGCCAGTGACCAAAGCCTGCAAACAGTCCATCTAGCTGAGGTGCGTATATACATTATCATTTTGGCTTACTCTGCATGCTAAGTTCAAAGCTAACACCTTATATCTCTTTTACCATTCACCTTTGCGCATTTTTTCGGCTTGCTCCTTCCACTGCTTAACTTCATTTTCATTGACTAACCTAAAAGAAGAAAAACAAGCAGTGTTACGAAGCCACCCTAGAGTCGTGAGCAAGCAAACCCCATCAGCAAACACGGCGCGAGACCGCGAGGTGAGACCCGTGGCTGCCGGTCCGGGTGCAGCTCCCAACATTTCTAGCATTTCTAACACCTCCCCTCCTCTCTCACTGGCTGTTTTTTTTTGCGTGCTAAGATGAACGCAACAGCTCTGGGGCCACAGCCAACCCAGGAGCTGAGGCATCACCGTGTGAGCGGTAAGCGATGAAGAAGGAGCGGTGACAGTCACAGTTGAGGGAAGTGTGAGGGTTGAGCTTAATTCACACGCACAGTCCATGGGAGGGACACAAGCAATCCAAGGGGATAACACTGGACCTCCTCGCCTACCCCCAGCCGGCGGCAGGACGAGCGCTTACATTCGGACGACGTTTTTGATGTTGAAGTTCTCCAGGGGGGTGGCGTCGGGGTCCTGCCCCTTGTCGCTCTGTATGACGATCTGCTGCACGATCCTGTCGAGCAGTAGCCAGTACTGGACAGTGTTGCCGCTTCTTTTGTCTAAACGGGGAGAGGGAATGAGAGACTGAATAGCCCAGCACAGGGACAAAAATTAACATAGGAACCAGGAAAGAAGGAGAGAGCCCCCCGAGGCCCAGGGGAGCACCGGTTTCTTCTGCTCGCCCCGTTGGAGCGATGCTCCTCTACTCACAAGGCATTTGGAGGCAGTGGTGGAGGATAGACATGAAGTGGGGGTACGCTTCCGTGTGAGTCAGCCTCTTCCTCGTCAGCTCAAACATCTGCGTCGCACTTTTGGTGTCTATGTGAACCTGGTGGGAAAGCGCAGCGAGGTCCAGCCACCCCAAAGCAGGGCCGAAAGCCCAAGGAAACAAGCTGGGCTCAGGCCAACTCAGACTTCCAATGGGCAAATGCCATCCAAACGACCCTATTTTGTCCCTGTACATGCGAGGGCTTTTAAAAGGAAACCTGACATCTCATACCAATGTCTACATCAGTAACGTTCATACTCACCAGTTCAAATCTTTTGGCAAATTCCAGTTCATCTTCGTTTCTAAGCATTTCAAAAAAATCTAAATGCCTGAGGAAAAAGATAATTAAAAAAAAAAGATTGTTTAAACTGATTTTAATAACATGCAGCAGGCAACCTGGAGCAGCTTCCAAAGCAGTCAGCTAGCACACAACGGCCTAGAGAAAAACAAGACATGAAACATAATCATCATCTCTGGTCTGGAGCTCCAAGAGCTCCACAAGATGATCTTCACTCAAGCAGGCTTGAGAAAGCAGCTCAAAAATGTGGAGGACAAGATAATTACAGCCTCTCCAAGGAGCTGTCTGGGGAAAGGATAGCACTAAGAGGAGGAGGAAGAGAGAAGTCTTCCATGCCTGTGATGGATGTATGTGATGGATACCCTTCCTGGTGTGCAGTGATTGAGGTTGCTGGGTCAACAGGCCGGCCTTGACAATGAGCGAGTGGGATATCTAATAGGGGCAGGTATCAATGCAAGTTGATTGCTCCTGTTGCCCTTGGTGGTTTGGCAGGTTTCTTCCCTCCATCTTTGGCTACAAAAAGGGATTTGCCCACGGGAAATGGAAGGCCAGATCTTCCTAGATCTGGTCTAGACCCACCATGTGCAAACAAAAGCAAGCCAGGATGTAAGGAAAGTGAGGAACCAGGAGACAGTCGGTCACTACTCACCGGTCTAGGGTTGAATTTTCATGCTCTCTTAGTTTATCAATGACGGGCTGGATTCCCAGCATGAGAAACTCATATCTCAGATGGAGTCTGAAATCCAGGCTTTCCTGGAAAGGACAGTTGTGGGGTCAACACAGCAAGATGCTTCTCCTGTCAAACCGTATTAAAACAACGATAACAACAACAAAACATCATGCATCGAGCCAGCACCCGCGCCGCAGCTCACCACGCCGGCGCCCTGGCTCAGCACGGCGTTGATGAAGGACATGATGGCCGTCTTGAGGTTCACCTCGTCCCGATACCGCCCCGTGCTCTTGTCCAGGTCATTGATCAGCGTCTGCCAAACGCACCATGTAAATCAGCAGGCTGAAACACCAGACACGTCCACGGCCCCTGCGCGCTGCGCAAACCACCAGCCACGTAGCGAGGCATGGAGAGGGTCATCTGCACCCACCAGGGGTGGTTCACTCTGAAGCGGAGTGAGGGCTGGGCAGAGAGCTCCTACCTGAAACCGAGTCCGCTCGCTGGCATATTTCTGGTAGTGCAGCATGGCCTCCAGCACCTTCTTGTGACCCCCGGGAACCAGGCACACAGCGCCCATGATTTCCAGCACTGCCACCTTCGTCTTAATATTCTCCGTGCTCAGACTCTGAGCGATTACATTAATGCTCTCCGAGTGGGCCAGGACATGAGCCCGGCCCAGGGAGTTGTTCATTAGTGCTTTTATACATCCAATGAGCGAGGTATGTATTCGAGACTCTGCCGTCTCATAGTCCATGCTTTTGAGGAAGTTCAGGATACACGACAAGCCGTCCAGGTCGATGAAGCGGGTCACAAACCTGTTGGAAAGAGGGCTCCTTTAAAACCAAATGCCACGGCCCTCTTTATCCGCAAACGAGGCTGACCTGATTATTTTTGTGGATCCAGAACTGATTTATGCACTTTTTTTCTGATGTGGACTTTGCATAGCAAAAACCTGCACGATTCCTGGGGCTCAGAGCGCAGGGATGGAAGAGTGGAAAAATCCCTCCATTTATTTGGTGCCTGTTTCTTAGCATGGACACCCACACACCATCTCCACAGGGTCTCTGCAGGGCCAGGATACCTGGAAGAGGAGCAGCCAACCCGGCTAACTCATCCCAGCAGCCAAACCCTGTGGCCAAGCTTGGGCTTTGCCCCTGTCCCCAGTCTGAAGTCCCAGGCATTTGGGACCAGTTTCGCATCAGGCTGCCCCATCCCACATACCCACAGATTCCTTCTCTTCTGTCCTGCACATCTTGCCATTTTTTAAAGGAGGGATTCCAGATTTTTATGATGACTTAAAAGGTTGCTTAATAGAAAGCAGACAGAAAATGCATGACAGTGCCCCTTGCAGATTCAGCACACCATGCAGATAAAACACCCTCTCCTTCGCTGCATGCTGTCCTTGCATTTTAGGATATAACTCGAGCTGGGTTTAGTCTCTCGTAGCAAAAGGCACTGGCTCGGAAAGCCGATGAGCCAAGAATATCCCAGCATTGGGATGATTTTGATTTATAGCAACCCAGGCTACCCAGCACAGCTACTGAAGGGGTACCTGCAGTCTCAGCAAAAAATGGTTTATGTGACATCTAAGTGTGCTCTTACTCCAGTCAAATTAAATAGTAATTTCAATGTCTATTTCCTTGAGAGAAAAAGCAGGTCCAATAGGCAACATTTTCTATAGCGCCTGCATCCTACTGAACCCATTAGCGGGCTCTCCCATAATCAGAACAGGGAGCTCATTTTTTAATGGGACGTTTTCCCATCAGAAAATCTCAACCTGAAACATCTTAAAGGTTTTGCAGACATGATGCAGGCTCCAAAGAAATGCTAGGAAAAAATAAAGTCGTTTTGAGGGAGTCTCACCCTTTCTTTGTCCTCCCCATCAAAACCTCCTAGCAATACTTTCTGCATTTCACAAAAGCCTGAAGATTCCTATGATTTTATTCCATTAAAAATGTAAAAAGAAGTTGAACTCAAAACAAAGGGTTTGGTTGACCAACAAAGATGGAATTTGGGGGGAAAAATTCGATGTGGAAGGAATTTTTCCGTTTTGTTCCAATTAGAACAAAAGCAAATTTGGAGGAAAAAAAGAAGTCGCCTGATTTCTCTAAACAGATGTGAAGCTCCTGATGGTTCTCATCTATTAAAAAGACAGAGGAAAAGGGGAAAAAAAAAAAAAAAAGAAGAGGCAATAGTCAACTCGAAGCAGCGAGTGCCATTGCAGGGTCCTCGCTCCTTACTTCCCTCCTCCTGCTCAACTGGCCTCATCCTCTTCATTCCTATTCCTATTTTTAAACCCCTTCTGTCTGAGAGCACAAATCAAAAGCCACAACAAGGGCAGTAAAGCAAGGAAAAGGGAAGAGATTTGCCTCATTGGTTTCGTCCTCAGTGCAGTCTTCAAACTTTCTATTGTTTTATTCCTCTCCTCCTCGTCTTCTTTTTCCAAAGCAATCAGTGATTTCCTCTGCAAATGGAAAAAAAGGCAAGTCAGAGAGATGAGATTTCCCTGCAAAGCACATGCCCGGATGGGAAAGGCAATGCTGGGTTTGCTGCTGGGAACCAAAGAGTTTGTTCAGGTACCACTATGCTCGGGATGGGGAGAGGCAAAACCCACCGGAGGTGATAGGGAAGTGAAGGGAGAATGTTTTTTTTATTTGCTGCATGATGCTTGAATGGGATTTTTGAGCTTCCCTCAGCACCCGAGACCTTAAATCAACTCTTAAACCTTGAAAGCTGAGATCTTCATTCAAATGGCAGGATGCCAGGAGACAGGGAACTGAGGCAAAAGAGCCCATATCCTGCAGCCTGCACAGAGACCACCTGGATTGGTGGCAGCAGGGATGACCCTATTGGCTTGTCCCTTCTCCAGGCACCTCAGGTTTGTTTCCAAAGGGCAGGAAATGCAGGAGCTTGTGCTGGTGGACGTGTGGATGTGCTCTGAGGGGGAACATTCCCATGCCACATCCTGCTGCATGATGGAAATGCTGGGGAACACCACAAAAGCGCAGACTTAGCCTTGTCCTCAAAATGATTAATAGGTTCCAGAGCTAAGAGGTGTGCTCTGAGGGGGGACATTCCCATGCCACATCCTGTTGCGTGATGGAAATGCTGGGGAACACCTCAAAAGCGCAGACTTAGCTTTGTCCTCAAAATGATTAATAGGTTCCAGAGCTAAGAGGGGATCTAATCAGTACCTATAAGAACCTCAAGGGAGGGAGTGAAGAGGATGGTGCTGGTCTCTTTTCAGTGGTGGCCACTGACAGAACTAGAGGTAATGGCCACAAACTGAAGCACCAAAAGTTCCACAGGAAGTTAAGGAAAAAATTTTTAACAGTGAGGGTGACAGAGCACTGGAACAGGCTGCCCAGAGAGGTTGTGGAGTCTCCTTCTCTGGAGATCTTCCAAACCCGCTTGGATGCAGTCCTGTGCCACGTGCTCTAGGTGACCCTGCGTGTGCAGGGGGGTTGGACTAGATGACCTCTAGAGGTCCCTTCCAGCCTTAAGCATTCTATGATTCTGTGATTCTATGATTCTAACACGCCACAGGCAGGAATGGAGTCAACGCAGACTGCCAGTCTGTAGCTCCTCCAGAAAAGCCTGGGATGGAGGATGCTCTCGATTATCCCCCCCCAACCCCTGGGCTCACAGAAATGAGGGGGAAAGCCTGGAACAGCAGAGTTCAGAGGGCCAGGATGCAAATCCTGGTGTGTTCCCTATAGCCCACTACGCTCCAGGAAACCAGGCACGTAAAAAGAAGAGGTAAATAAACATCTCCCTGTATCCCACAGCAAACTGCTTGGCTGCAGCCCGCTGCCCTGCACAGGGTCCTCTGATCCCAGGGTGCTCTTAAGAGCGCTAAAATCCTCTGCAAAGCCGGCAGCACCCAACAGTGGCCGGAGCAAGTCCCGCTGACACCAGCGGCCCTCAGGGCAGAGTGAGGCAGAAAAAATGGCAAAAAAGGTCAGGTCCAGCGTGTCAGGGTCCCGGCGCATGCAAAGAGCTGTGCTGACCCCGCACTGCCGCGGGCTGCTCTCTGGCAGCGACTCAGGGCCCCGGAGATCAAAGGCAGCCTCCGGCGCCGGGCGAGCTTTGATCACGGCCCTGCTCCGGCTCTCCACTTCCTCCGGCCCGGCTCTCCAGGACCGGAGCGGCGCGCTCCTTCCTCACCCACAGCCCCCGTACTCCTCCTCATCCCAGGCTCTGCGAGTCGGAGATTGCTTTGGGCTCCTTGAATTGGAAAGACCGAAAAGCGACACTAGTCACTTCACGGCTTTCACTGGCCGTGCTCAAAATACTTACAGCAGCCATTGAATTCAGCTGATCGATATAAAACTCTGGCCAGCTGGTGGCTCCTTTATTTTCTTCCTGGTCCTGGAGAGGGGAGAAAAAAAAAGCAGAACAAAGAAAGCAGATTAGGAGAAACAGCATTAATATCCTCGGTTGTTCACAAACAACCGCCCGGGAAGACCCCACTGGCTGCTGCATTTACAGCAGCGTATGCTCCATTTTCCACATGTTGCATTCACCACTGGTCCTCAAGACATGAGACGACTGTCTGATTTATTGAACTAATATATTTTATATACAATATATGGCCTACGATCTGCTTGCAGCTAAACTCTGTCCCGATTATTCGGCATCAGTCTCATAGCTCTTGGTTTTGAGGAGACAACGTTGCTGTTTTACATACAGATTTTTCTTCTACTGACTTTGTGTGCCCTTAAATAATTGGCTGTACAACCTTGAAGAATGTGCTCTGGGGGAAAAACTGTCTGTTACAAGCCATGAAGACTGAATAAATGTGACATGAACTAGGCTCTGCTCTTGGAGCAGGCCCACAACTTACCAGCGTGCTAAGACACAACAAACCTCGGAGGTTTTCATTAATATTAGAGAATATATACACAGTAATATCCTGCTTTAAAGGATATCTCCCTCTGGGCTCATGATCTATGGGAGTGAAGGATGCAGATCCTCATGGTCACCTCAGGTCTACAACACTCTGCTGCCAGTGGGACCCAATTCAGGTTCTAGCACATTCTTGCAGGACAGGACCAAAAGACTTCAGAGACCTTGGAAGCAGAGTAAGCTCCTGTTGGCTCCCTGCACTGGAAACACGTGAGGAAGGATGCAAGAGCTGCACACACGTGTGGAAACACCATCCTCATACAACCTTCTTGTTCTGCATCTCGTACAACCTTCAACATCCACCCCTACATGGTGTTAGCACAAACAGACTTGACCCTGCCGTCCAGAAGCTTGTGGCCTGGGGGCAGTTGAGGTGGCAACAAGCTTTCGGTAGCAATAACTCACCCGGTCTCATTAACCACCTTCAAAATTCCCAGCACAATTTGCTGCACAGCACTGCCCTGCTTACCCACCGCCTCGGGAAAGGAGGATGCTCGGCATTTTCCTGACGCTTATCTTGCCAGACACGGATCCTATGAGACTAGGGAATCGGCGGTGCAAGGGCAGCCTGCACTGCAGATTTACTTGGATTTGGGTGGAAGATCATCACCACTCGCACCAAAAAGGGCTGAATTTGTTAGATACAGCAGGATGCAGAGAGGCCAACCTCCCCCAGTGCTCCAAGGGAGACAGACTTGAACCACTAGAAGCATCAGAGAATCATAGAATCATAGAATGCTTAGGGTTGGAAGGGACCTCTAGAGATCATCTAGTCCAACCCCCCTGCATACGCAGGGACACCTAAAGCACGTGGCACAGGACTGCGTCCAAGCGGGTTTTGAAGATCTCCAGAGAAGGAGACTCCACAACCTCTCTGGGCAGCCTGTTCCAGTGCTCTGGCACCCTCACTGTTAAAAAATTTTTCCTTAAGCCCGTCCTCTGCACTCCCTCCCTTGAGGTATTTATATACACTGATTAGATCCCCTCTCAGCCTTCTCTTCTCCAGGCTGAACAGGCCCAGCTCCCTCAGCCTCTCCTCATAGGGCAGATGTTCCAGGCCCCTGATCATCCTTGTAGCCCTGCGCTGGACTCTCTCCAGCAGCTCCACATCCCTCTTGTACTGTGGAGCCCAGAACTGGACACAGTACTCCAGATGTGGCCTCACCAGGGCTGAGTAGAGGGGCAGGATCACCTCCCTCGACCTGCTGGAGATGCTCTTCTTAATGCAGCCCAGGATTCCATTGGCCTTCTTGGCCACGAGGGCACACTGCTGCCTCATGGTCAACTTATCATCCACTATGACAGCCAGGTCTTTCTCTGCAGAGCTGCTCTCCAGAAGATCATTTCCCAGCCTGTACTGGTGTCTGGGGTTATTCCTCTCCAGGTGCAGGACCTTGCACTTGGCCTTGTTGAATTGCATGAGGTTTTTCACCGCCCAGTTGTCCAGTCTGTCCAGGTCCCTCTGGATGGCAGCGCAGCCCTCTGGGGTATCAGCTACTCCTCCCAGTTTGGTATCATCCGCAAACTTGCTGAGGGAGCACTCTGTGCCTTCATCCAGGTCATTGATGAATAAATTGAACAGGACTGGACCAAGGACTGACCCCTGGGGGACCCCGCTAGCCACAGGCCTCCAACTAGACTCTGCACCGCTGATCACCACTCTCTGGGCCCTGCCATCCAGCCAGTTCCTAATCCATCTCACTGTGCACCTCACTAAATTCAAGGTGGTGCTTGAGATGTTTGAAAATGCTCTTCTATCTTGCAATTGCCTGCACAGGTAGGAGACGGACAACCCTCCCTTCTGCTCCCCCATCCATGTGTATTATGGATGATGACCAACAGTCCCGTTGACTTCAGCACTTCAAAGGACTAGAGTCCAAATCACGCGCTGTAGTTCAAGAGCTGCAAATGGGAGGCGATCGTGCATCCAAACTCCGTAATCTACAGCTTGCAGGGACGAGAGAACGGAGTTGGCAACAACATTAGATGCATTTTCCTCCCATTGTCACACACGAATGTTTCAAGAGCAGCTAATGGTGAACAAACACCATTCTCCCTCTCACAGCAATGGAAACTCTGGGATGGAGAGAAGGGAAGTTCATGAGGAGCAACGGAGCCGGTGCCCGGCCAGGCATCTCCTGAACGTGGAATGGGCCAAGATCAGCTCCTTGTCCATCCTTGCTGCTATCCCCAGCCACGCAGAGCCCTTCCTGGATGGAGGTGAGCTGGCCTGGCAATAACTAGATCAAGCCAGGTGAGC